TTATCGATGTACTGCTGTCTATGATGATGATGATGAAGGGTATACTTACAGATGCCATTAAGGTGTGTGTTAAAACCTAGTTGTTGGCTATTGTCTTTTCTTTTTTTTTGAAATTAGGGACCATATTTCAAGTTTACAGTCATCGTTAGTAGTTTATGAATTTACTTGTCCTTGCTATCAGCAACACTATATCGGTTCTACAAAAACGAAACTATTAACATGATTAAAAGAACACGCCAATTTCATATCACCCAATAAAGCAAGTATATTAGAACATGCCCTATGAGAAGTGATGTCGTTCGTTATAATTTTTTTAAAGATTCATAGAATGGACAATGATGAACAGAGCCTCCTTATAAAAGAGAGTCTTTTGATTCTCCAGCTAAGGCCTGAAAACAATGTGGTTAGTTCTGCAGAAAAGTTAATACCTGTAATCTAATTTCGTCGCACCTAAAACGAGTAGAAAATTTAAAACACGGATATTTCTATTATTTTATATACAGATAAGTTATTGATGTATTAATTAGATTTGTGAGAACACAAAGTAAACAATGTCATGTTGTCAGGAAGCTTCTGAGCTTTTGCAACACTATTTATGACTGTATTTCGATCATTCCTAAGTTTCATAAACCATTCATGATTTATCGTGATGAATATGATACAATCTTAATTTAACTTCAAGCAGAAAAACATAAATTTAATAGCTTAAACAACCGTAATAGAATAAAATAAATTATATACCAAAGTGAAAGCCTAGCAGTGTCTGGACTTTAGTAATTTAGTCCCCACTTAGGATGATACTAGTTTTGTGATCATGACTGATTATAAGGCTTAACTGGGATTTTTATTTGTCCAACTTAAAATAATCAGTTAATGTAAAGGGTACTTTGACTAGAGCAATCTTATTGCAAATTCATTCATTCACTTGAGAATTTTTATAACATTTAAATGCATTATTAGGTAATCTTAAGGAAATCCAATCAGCAAAGAGGCTAAACTTCGTTCAACGTAACAAAGCAGAAAAACTATTTATTCCTAGTGAATCTCAACCTCCCAGTGAAACTTGGAAGTAATTTTTGAATTTTCTTATCTTTTCTGATAATTACAAGCTAAAATTTGGAAAAATATTTAAGAATCTATTTCTCTACGACAGGTCGATTAATTTTCTATTCCCACAAATAACATTTTTGTGAAAAGTTTAATTTGCTTTGACGGAAGTATACTAACAGATAGCGTCTGCTAAACCACTTTAATGAAATTTGACATTTTAATAATGTTTAAAAGATGCAAACAACTAAATATAATGAATTTTGAAGCAATTGCGTCATGTACGTTTGTTGCAAAAAAATTTTTTTTTATATTAAAAACACAATGCACCATACATATAATCACATAGATTGTGAAAGTTACAACATAAATTAGAAATTTCCTGATGAGGCCTAGGAACTTTGTAAAATACATTTTCATGGTTTTACATTTGTCTGTTCGGATATTTTAAATTCCACGACGATGAGTTCCAAACTAAATATAGTGTTGCGTCAGCGAGGTCACGTGACTAGTATCACGCCACGTCCTTCTCGAACCTTCATGAATTGTCGGGAGACTACTAGATGGTGGGTAGTCT